AAAAATGCTTTAACTTGAGTATTATCAGTTCTAATCAAGAACTTTTTTGGTAATAAATAATCTTCATATTTTTGGACTCCTCTTTTTACAGCAATGAGTTCTTTTCTATTCGTCTCATATCTTGTTTCAACTTCTTTGAATGTTCCTGATGTGTAACCTGCAAGTATTTCAGGACAACAACAATCTTTTTCGCATTTATATTCTTTATGATTCTTTTTAATTTTTAACACTGCTCCCCAGTAGTAATCTGAAGCATCAGTTTCCAGGATAAAAAAATCTTCTTCTTGGGGTATTATAAGTTTAGGCAATACCTTTAATTCTTCTTTTACCTTTCTTATATTTTCACAATCTTGCTCTTCCCAAGACCACATTATATTTTTTCTTAATTTTGGAAGAAAATAATTTTTCAATTTAGCACAGTTTTCAATGAATCCTTCAGCATAATTTAATATACCGAGGAAGCTTTGTAATTATTTTTTATCTTTGATTTCTTCAGGAAATTCTTGAAACTTTTCTCCAATATGGGATTGCAATTGCAATTCTCCTTCTTTTATAAATAATCCTAAGAATTCTATTTCTGTTTTATCTATCTCGCCTTTCTTTTGAGAAAGTGTAATACCATGTTTTTTCATAATATAACAGAATTTCTCAAGATGCTCAATATGTTCATCAATGTTATTTGAATGAATAAGTAAATCATCTACGTATGCAATACAAAAATGAGTAATTGACTTGATTACCTCATCCATTCTTCTCTGAAATATCTGTGGTGCATTTTTCAATCCAAATGGCATTACATTCCATTCGTATTGTCCTAAAGGATTGGGGGTACTAAATGCAGTTAGAGGTTTACTTTCTTCTGTAAGCATGATTTGCCAAAACCCTGACTTACAATCAAATTTTGAAAATATCTTTTTGTTCTGTACTTGTTTAATAAGGGTGTCCTTATTTGGCAAGTAGTATCCATCAAATTTGGTAACTTCATTCAATTTTTTGTAGTTTATAACCATCCTGGCTTTTCCTCTTTTTATCTCACTATGTTTTCTAACCATAAAGGCTGGGCTGCTATGTGGACTTTTACTTGGTCTAATCAATCTGGTTTCTAGCAATTCTTTTATCTGGTTTTTAAATTCTTTTTGATCATCAACACTATATTTCATAGGTTTGACCCTTACTATAGTATCTGGATTAGTTAATTCTATCTTTGCCTTTACTTTATCTGTATTCCATTTTTCTAATGGATTTTCAGAATATGTTTCAGAGATTTCTTTTTTCAATTTTTCTAGCCTATTTTCCGTTGTCATTTTTAAGACCGTCACTGGTTTAAATTTTTCTGTACTCCAACATCCACCACGCTGGGTTGAAGAACTTTGATGATTTATATCTCTATATGCAATTGTAACAGCTTTATTTATTTTTGGTGTAAATATTTTATGTGCACAAGGTGTCGTGAACATATATTTATCAATATATTGTGTAAATGATGCATATTTTAATAGAAAATTTTGTCCTAATAAAATATCACATCCTATTGTGGTTGACATATATATTGTATCAACAAATACTTCTCTAAAGGAAATTAGAAAAGGTACTTGAGTAGCATACTTGCTGTATATTACTTTATTTCCACCTGCTGTTGTAGCAGTTACTACTTTCTTTGAATTATATTTCCAGTATTCAGATGGCAGTACATTTGGTAAGCAAAGGCTTATTGTACTTCCTGTATCTAAGTAAGCGTGAAAATTAATTCTACAATAATTTTTTATATTGAGTGTAATTTCAATATATGAGCTCATGGGATTAGTACTTATTACTCTTTCCATGATAACAATGATTTCATATTTTCATCTATTCTTGGAATGATAATTGGATTATCATCAACTGTTATTTTTAAATATCCTTGACAGATTTTATAAGGACTATATTTTTCAAGAAAGTTCATTCCTAGTAGAATAGGTGAACGATCTACTCCATATAATTCATCCTTATATAGAATTATTTCTTTAGTGTATTCTTTCTGATCCTCTCCTACAGGTATAAGAGGAAATTTAACATATTTTCTTATTTCAAGATTATTTCCTAAATAATCCTTAAATATATATGGTTTAGGTATTTCAAAGTCTATTAGGTGATTAACAAACTTGGTATTTACATGACTTTTATCTGCTCCAGTATCTAAAAGGACAAGAAGATTTTTCTTAAATCCTTCTTGGTTTACATATCTTGTCTTAATGTAATATTGTGAACTTGATGGTTCAGCAATACTTAAATT